TGAATTTTCAACTTGGTCAAACAAAACAAAAAATATGACACATGTCAATGTCATCCGTCAAAATCATAGGATTGTTGCTTTTTTTCTCTTAATATGCACGTTAATCCGTCAACGCTGAATCCGCACTTATTAAGCAAACTTAATAAGAGTTGTACGAAAATATACGATTTTTTTTTATATAATGGAAAAATTAAACATAATAATTTACACGTATTCAGATGTTTAAGCAATTGCAACTTTGAATTTTCAACTTGGTCAAACAAAAAAAAAATATGACACATGTCAATGTCATCCGTCAAAATCATATGATTGTTGCTTTTTTTTCTTAATTAACGTGCCCGTCAACGCTGAATCCGCACTTATTAAGTAATCTTAATAAGAGTTGTACGAAAATATACGATTTTTTTTTTATATAATGAAAAAAAAATAAACATACTAATTTACACGTATTCAGATGTTTAAGCAACTGCAACTTTGAATTTTCAACTTGGTCAAACAAAACAAAAAATATGACACATGTCAATGTCATCCGTCAAAATCATAGGATTGTTGCTTTTTTTTTCTTAATAGGCACGTTAATCCGTCAACGCTGAATCCGCACTTATTAAGTAATCTTAATAAGAGTTGTACGAAAATATACGATTTTTTTTTATATAATGAAAAAAAAAATAAACATACTAATTTACACGTATTCAAATGTTTAAGCAATTGCAACTTTGAATTTTCAACTTGGTCAAACAAAAAAAAAAATATGACACATGTCAATGTCATCCGTTAAAATCATAGGATTGTTGCTTTTTTTATTAGGTTATTAAGTAATATTAATAAGAGTTGTACTAAGTAGTAATTAGTATGTTTTGTTTGAAGTTTGGTTTTTTTTCTTGTTGCTTGACAGAAGGAAACATTTGATTTGATGACATTGACGTTTATAAATAAAAAAAATGACATTTTTCTTTGGTAAAATTTGGTTTCGTTCATTGGAATAAGTTTGAGTTTAAATTAATGTATAGAATTGTTTCGGTTTCTCGATTCTCAGATGCGTGAATCTCTAAATTAAAATAGTGTTGTTTTGGTTGAGATTGGACTAGAATAGTTTACACTTTATGTCTAACGCGAGTGTCTTTTGTTTGGATTTCACCTGGTCCAGTCGTCGGAGGAGAGTGGTGAGAACGCCGAGGCCTGGTTGTGGATGCTCGGCACCTTCTGATCGCTGGAATCCTTCGGTTTATCGTCCAGATGGTGATGGTGGTGATGATGCTGCTGCTTGCCCATGATCGAGTCGATGGTGAAGCCGTTCTTGGATTTGGCTTTGACGGTGATTTCCGTCGTGGTGCTCGGAACGAATCCGTCCTCCGGGTCCGAAGTGGCCGAAGTTTGCGTCGGTTGCACCGGAACCGGTTTGCAGATCGGAGCACCCTGAGGATGCTGGATGAGCCCCAGATGGGTCAACCCTAACCTCGAGAGATCCATGGGTGGGATCAACGGTGGTATGGCGGGTAGATAACCGTAGGGGCCGTGATGCGGCATCGGTGGCCCGAAGATGCTGTGCTGGTAACCGTCCTGCTGATTCGCAGCCAACAAATTGGCAACCATCGCCGCGGAGGCGTGATGATGGTGGTGGTGATGATGATCGCGATACATCAGATTCGGTGACGGTCGCTTGTAGCGTTTCCGTCGCCTCAGGAAACTGCCGTTATCGAACATATCTTCGGCCAACGGATCCAGAGTCCAGTAGTTTCCTTTTCCCGGATTTCCCGGCTCCCTCGGGATCTTGATGAAGCAATCGTTCAGGCTGAGATTGTGCCTGATCGAGTTCTGCCACGCCGGGAATTTATCCCTGTAGTATTGGAAACGGGTCATGATGAACTCGCAGATTCCGCTTAGCGTTAACTTCTTCTGCGGCGACTGCAGGATCGCCATGGTGATGAGAGCGATGTACGAGTACGGTGGTTTTATCATCTGATGTCCTCCGCTTCCTGCTGCTGTTGCTGCTGCTCCACCACCACTTCCAGACTTCTTCGCTTTGGAAGCTTCACCGTCCGACGAGGATTTCGGATCCGACGATCCGCGAAGATCCAGAGGACTTTCCGCCTGCTCCAGAATCATCTCACCGTCACCGACCGCCAGGAGGCGCACCGCAGCATCACAGTCCATCATTAACATTTGACCAATCACAGTATCACAACATCTTCCAACCGAAAGAAACGAAAAAAAAATAAATAAATTGAAAAATCACGACATCCACACGAAACGAAACAATCGCGAGAAACAAAACGCGATCGTCGCCTGCTCTCTTATCCAGTGCAACTAACTATTTTATCGGCCGAACGATGATGACGATGATGATGTTGATAAATGTTTTCGAATCGGATTTTCGAGGTTGTCGTCGCCGGAGAGGAGAGGTTAGGTTCCGTCGGCATCTGGATGTGTTATACCAATATTTTGATGGCTAGAACAATGATGGTTCAAAGCCACCGCACATTTCCGGGTGGAATCCAGCGAAAACTAAGCGGTGAAGTGGGAGTGGCCAACAGAGGACACACCCACAAATCCCGTTTTTTCCCTTCAACACACGCAATCTCGTATCTATTTCTCTCGCATATCGAAAACAAACAACAAAATTAATTTAAAAAAAAACAATAATAACAACAATTACGCGGATTTGTTGTTCATTTTTTTTTCTGTTATTTAACAAATTTTATCGCATTCCTTTGTCTTTCCCCTTCCACTCGCGCAAATTGTGGGGGGATGCTATAAGGTCGGGGCGTGGCCAGATGCGAATGCGTGCGTTGAACACACAGTTATCATTAGTCGATGTGGGCGTGTCCGTGGGGGGGACTCACCCCTCCAGCGCGACGCCAAAGCCGCCCTCAAAACATAAATTGATATTCTGCACAATGTACACACCTTTGATGGCCCCGAAAACATTAAACCTCTCCCGCAAACCCTCAACCGAATCCACGTTCCAATTTTTTTTCTTTTTTAATATTATTTTCTTTCTTTCCCCTTTCATCCGTTTTATTTCTGCTATTTTCATTTTCTCTTCGCGATTTTCCTTTTTTTCTTTTTTTCCATTTCCATCAAACGTAATTCGCGTGAGCTTTTGTTTTCGCTGCGCGGCCACCGCCGCCGCCTCCTCCGGATTTATTACTACAGTTCTTCGCCGCTGTTTTTGTTTTCTCTCGTTTGTTTCGTTTCGCTTTTGTTCTTCAAGGGATTTATTAAATGCTTTGTCGGGTGGGTGGAGACGATTCCACCGTCGCTCCACCTCCACTAAACAAAAGAACGACGTATTTTTTTTTATTGTTGTTGCTTCGTTTCTCTTTCGTCTTCAATTTTTTTCTTTTCTTCCCTACGCGAACATTATATTAAAAACCGCAATCGACAACTTTCTTCCAGTGTTTTCCCATTTACACTTACAATTCACAAAGAAAAAAATTACTTTTCAGATACTCAAATTTTTATTACACATCCAAACTAGTTTTCAGCAGTCAAATGTCATTGCTTATAAACCAATTTGTTTCTAATTTGACATTTCTTAAATCAGGCAACTTAATACGCAAACTAAGCTTTCTAGATTTTTTTTTAGTCAAAGTTAAAATAATATTTTTCGTTTGTTTTATAGACGAAAGCTTGTAGTTTCATCAATTTTGATTGAATTGATGAAAAAAAAAAACAAGAAGTTATTGTATAATTAGTTTTGTTATGTAAATAAAGTAGATTTTGCGTTCTGGGCTTTTCATAAATTTGATGGATGAATGGAGGAAGTTTAGTGGAAAACAGGCAACAATATTAATATTGAAATTTGCTTTCGTTTCGTCGCGTTTTGCAACAAAGGCATGTATATGTACGTGAGGCAGAGAACACATGAAAGGGCGGAAAAGACAAGAAGATGTCGTGTATTCACAAACCCCTCTATATGTTATAAGTGTGTGTGTGTGTGTTGGAGAGAGAAAGGCGTATGTTGATGATGGTTTGAGGAAGAGGAGGCTGAGGCGGCGGTGGCGCTCCCTGGGGGCTTAATATCTTCTGTCGCAGCCGCCTCCGCTCCTCAAACAGACACACGCAAACACATGTAGTATATAGTGGATATGTGTATTATATACGTATGTACGTATGTGTTCTCTGAGATTATTTGCATGCGAGCAATGTCAATTATATTTGAAGGACCGCCGTCTCCGCATACACACGAATGCAAATAAAGTTGTATACATGCATGAAAGTGTTGCGGTGACAGCAGTGCGCGACACGTGTCGCCCGAAGGCTTCACATCATCATCATCATCAAATTACCTACCCTCCGACGCCTCTGGGAACAAAAACGAAACGCAAACAAGATTCGTCCCTTTCGTTTCTTTTCATCTAGATACAAGTCAACAACATCCTTAGCAACGGTCGAAATTAGGTTTTCAAATCATCAAAAGTTGGTACTCCTGAATGAACATACTAAATTACCTGGTAGTTGGTACACCTGATTATAATCACTTAAAGTGTGGATGCACCATTATATTAATACTTACTGATACACTAGAAATTTGTGTAAACAATTTAGAAAGTTCTGTTAAATACATTTCAAATAATTGAAATTCCAACGGTTATTTTATGAAATCATTAAGAAAATTGTATTAAATCAAGTTGACAATGAAAAATAAATGAAAAAAAAGTAGTATCTAATAAATTGACAATAGTATAATGTCACCTGTCAATTTGACATTTAGTAAATGTCACTTGTCAATTAGTTTATGTCGCTTATCAACAATTTCGGACTAATTTCAAACTTATACTTGTACGTGTTCGAGATTAATTAATGAAATGAAATTGTAAAATTAATATGTTCTGATGTCTTACTGATATACTAGAAATTTGTCTAAACAATTTAGAAAGTAGCGTTAAATACATTTCAAATAATTGAAATTCCAACGGTTATTTTATGAAATCATTAAGAAAATTGTATTAAATCAAGTTGACAATGAAAAATAAATGAAAGAAAGAAGTATCTAATAAATTGACAATAGTTTAATATCACCTGTCAAGTTGACATTTAATAAATGTCACTTGTCAATTAGTTTATGCCATTTATCAACAATTTTGGACTAATTTTAAACTTATACTTGTACGTGTTCGAGATTAATTATTGAAATGAAATTGTAAAATTAATATGTTCTGATGTTTTACTGATATACCAGAAATTTGTGTAAACAATTTAGAAAGTTGCGTTAAATATATTTCAAATATTTGAAATTTCAACGGTAATTTTATGAAATCATTAAGAAAATTGTATTAAATCAAGTTGACAATGAAAAATAAATGAAAAAAAGAAGTATCTAATAAATTGACAATAGTATAATGTCACCTGTCAACTTGACGTTTAGTAAATGTCACTTGTCAATTAGTTTATGCCACTTATCAACAATTTCGGTCTAATTTCAAACTTATACTTCAAGATTAATTATTGAAATGAAATTGTAAAATTAATATGTTCTGATAATTTGACACTTCAAATGAAATATAATTTGTATAATTTTCAATTGTTCTTGTTTTTTTTTTGTTGTTGTTGTCAAAATTTACCATCTCTAAGGCAACATCAACTAATATTTTCGTTCTTTGCGTATCGCATTTGCAATTGGAATACTTCTCAATTCTCATACCTAATTCCTGCAGATAGTCCAAACAGCTGGTCACAACGCATAATGGAAATGAGCGAATCGAATCGCGGAGGGACGGAAATCTAAATCGGATTAGATCTGTGTCGTTTAATATCATCCACCCGTGTCCGTTTCGATTTTGTTTTCTGCGGCTGCGGGGGTTCCCCGTACCACATGCTGCGCTTTTATTTCATCAAAAACAAAAAAACAAAAAATCCTTCATCTTTTGTTTATTGTTTTTTTTTATCATCATCGTTGTTCACGTTTCTTTCTGGATGAGAAAACATTCGATGATGTAAATGTTATTATGAAGCGTTGCTATGGTTATACAAAAAAAACAGCTGAAACTTTTCATTTTATTATTTAATAAGTTTCTAATTTTGTTTGTTTCTTACATAATATGTAAATAAATATTTAATACAGACATTGGTCTTTTTAGTGTGTATTAGGCAACTTATTGTACACTCTAAAAAAATATTATTAGAAATTTGAAATCTTTAAAGAATTTGAATATTTTTGTCAATAATTCAATAAATTTCAATAATTTGGACATAATATATCAAAAAATTAAGTATTTATTAGTAGAAACGTCAATATTTCTATTGTTTGTACCTACTCAACCATAGATGGCGTTCAAAGCAAATTATTGATTAAAATCAAATTTCCTTATTTACATTTTATCGAATTTCTAGAAAACTACGAAAGATACAGACAAAATTAAATATGTACATGAAAGCTGAATATATAAGCAATATTATGTGTATAATATCATAGTTATAAAACTTTCAGTTATTGTGTATTTGAAATTAAAAAAAAGTAAAGTAAAAGTTTTTGCACATTTAATTTTATTTTTTAATAACCAACACTGTCACATATATCAATTAATACTTTAATTAAATATAAAACTATAGGCTTTCTAATGCGCTTAATTCTGGAATTGTAGCTTTTACGGTTTTTTTCTAATTCATTATCAAAATTAGATAAGAAAAAGCAATCAAATTAGAATATTTTTATATTTAAATCTATTTGAGATGGAAGTATTGCCATCTAGTTGTAGTTATGAGAATTATTTTGGTTAGAATTCCGTAGATACTTGCAATTGAAGTTGCATACATACTTTGCACAAAATTTTGTTAAATAATTCAATTTTCTTACACAGATGTCGCTAGTGTAAAATGTAAATTTTGTAATAAAATTACGTGCAGTACAAGTTGTCTATACTTGTTTTATTGCTAATTTACTCAATAATTACGTCATGAAATGAAACATGCTTAATGTAATTACGTCAATTGTATTATACATGAATGTATGCAATAGATGGCGCTGACATTCGCTCGATTTATTTACGTGTTTACGAGGTGTCAAGGTACGCAAATTTCGAAAAAAAAAAAAAAGAGAAACAAAACAAAAATGTAGAAACAGTTGCGCGATGCGTCATCGCCCGAACGGGAATACGCTTTTCGAAATATTCCTAAGCTCGTGTCATATTTATTAACAAAACAAAAAAAAAATAAGAAACCATAAGAAATTAATGTTACTCACTTTCATCTCTTAGTAATATCTCGAAATATCTCAAGCGTTCGCTTCTGAGAAAATCATTGATAAATCTGTACCTTATTAATATCTGTTTTTGTTTTGTTCGCTTCTCTGAATAAAAAAAACAATTGTTTTTCACGTTGCTACGATAATTACTGTTGTAACATTTGAGTTAACAATTGAAAAAATATTAATATAGTTTCTTAATTTTTTATTTTTTCTTACTCAAATTATACGAAGTGAGCTATGAAAAAATTCA